GTTTTACTTAAGAGTCCTATGATATACATAAGTCACAGAGGGATAGCCACGTTATTCTGTATCTGCAAGAATGAGGAAACCTGTGGCATCTTCTTAGGCTATGTCTAGACTGCAAGCCTCTTTCGAAAGAGGCTCTTTCGAAAGATACTTTCGAAAGAGCCTCTTTCGAAAGAGGCTCTTTCGAAAGATACTTTCGAAAGAGCCTCTTTCGAAAGAGGCTCTTTCGAAAGATACTTTCGAAAGAGCCTCTTTCGAAAGAGGCTCTTTCGAAAGATACTTTCGAAAGAGCCTCTTTCGAAAGAGGAACTTTCGAAAGAAGGTGTTCTTCCTCGTGACATGAGGTTTACCGCCATCGAAAGAAAAGCCGCGTTCTTTCGATTTAATTTCGAAAGAACGCGGCTGCAGTCTAGACGCAGGTGAGGTTTTTTCGAAAACCCCTGAGTCTGGACACAGCCTCAGAGACTAACAGATTTATTAGGATATAAGCTTTCATGGGTAAAACCCACTTCATCTTTTATCCACGAAAGTTTATATCCTAATAAATCTTTTAGTCTCTAAGGTACCACAGGACTCCCCATTATTTTTATATGATACCCATAGTATATAATCAGCAACAACTGAGACTTAGGTGAGCACATTTTACGATACTGTTTGAATATTAGCAATCAAGTATCTGGGTACATCACCCCTGGAAAGCTTTCCAGAGTTGGTCACATAAAGCAAATATCAGTGAGTGGAGACTGTCCCTCCGGAAGTCAGAATTTAGGGGAGGGAAATACACCCTCATTCATCTTGTCTCCCAAAAGCACCCAAGTCATTTAGGTTTTCCTAACAATTTCCCTCCTGAGGTTTGGATGGCAACAGGGTCCTGTCAACATCAGGATCCTGACTAGTGTAGCTGCAAGGGTGGGAGATGAATGACACCACCAGTGTAGACAAATCACTTCAGTGGGGCTGTCAAGTAGACACCTTCCATCTGGGAAAAACATGCAGTCAGCTTTTTCTAAAGAGAGCCCATATGAGTTTGTTTTGCTCGCTGCCCTGCGGTTACGGCCACATCTATACTAGAGAACTTACAGCAACATGGCTGTAGCAAAGTGGCTGTGCCACTACAATTCCCCAACACACCCTCTCCCGCCCCCCGGAGCTGCTCTATGCCAATGGACATAATTTAATTAAATCACCTCCAAGGAGAATCGCATGGGGAGATGCTCTCCCGTCAACATAGCGCTACCCACCCTGGCAAGGTTAATTCGCCAAAAGTGCTAGGGGAGACACACAAAGAAGGAAAGTTTGGTAAAGTTGCCACCAGCAACAGCAAAGGGCAAACCCGCCCGCAGTGTTAGTGGGAAACAACCTCCCCCCTCTAGTTCAAAAGTCATCGGTTGTTTCCTTTTGTTTTCAAAGTACAACTATGCAACTTGCAGCCGGCGTGCCCAACTCTGCAGCATTTGCATGTAGTTTTGGAATTTATACCCCAGCCAGCTGGCCTTCCTGGCTCTAATTTAGATGTTTCCCCCTCCCTCCTGTCCTCCCCTCCCCCTCTACCTCCCTTTAGAGACTTTAAGAGTTTAGCACTGAAAATGACTTGTTCATTCAGTGCATTTCAATGAAAGGGAGGGAGAAACTGTCTTTTTTATTTTTTTTTAAGTTAAGGAAATGGATTTTCCCCTTCTCCGATTTGCTGGGGAAAAGTCTGCCCCCCCCCTTCCGTCTCATCTCTATTTACGCTGAAACGTGGCACTCGGCTCCCTTTAGAGACTTTAAGAGTTTAGCACTGAAAATGACTTGTTCATTCAGTGCATTTCAATGAAAGGGAGGGAGAAACTGTCTTTTTTATTTTTTTTTAAGTTAAGGAAATGGATTTTCCCCTTCTCCGATTTGCTGGGGAAAAGTCTGCCCCCCCCCTTCCGTCTCATCTCTATTTACGCTGAAACGTGGCACTCGGCTGGGAGGTGGGAGAGGCAGGGTGCTATCAGACACAGGCAGTTCAGAAACACCCCCCCCCCCGGAACCAGGCGGGCCAGACACCACCCCCGCGGGAAA